TTTTTTTTTACTACACTTGGCAGCTTTAGTTACTTTTAAAAGAGGAGATTTTACCTGATGAATAATACAGCGAGCTTTTAAGGATGCAACACATTAAAGATTAAACCAGTGATTTCCAACCGTTTTGGTTTCTGAGGGGAAAAGAAAAGCAGTCGGACGTCTATGAGTTGGTAACAGCACCAACAAATGTGGCTTTTTGTCCTTCTGATACGGTTTAATTTGAAATTCCTCATTGATTTGTCCTCTGATTTATGTGGCGTCTGTGTATAAAACAACAAACTAATTCAGACAACGGTAGCGTGATTCTTCACTATTAATAATCTGTACGTCAGGAGGACCAAAACAACACCTTCTAATGCTACTTTTGCTGCTGTGTTTTTTTACTTAAATGGGATTCCTACCTACATGCAACACAGTCAAGGTTTATGAAAATCTGTGCACGCTGTTCTCCACCTACAAAGAATGTTGAGAAACCAGCACGAGGCGTTCTAACTAACCTGCAGGTAGAACATCCCAAAAACCACAATAAGGGTTTCTGAAAGCAGCATTTTTGTCCCAGAAAACCCCACAATTATGGACAGTGGTGCACATTCACACGTGTGTGCCCGTGGCAAGTTCTTCACTGGAGTCCCAGCGGATGATCGACGTCAGCGGCAGGAATCCTTATATTGTAGCCCAGTTCCTCACACGCAGCTGCTTGTGTCACCAGTCGAGGTTCTGACCCGTGGGCCACTAATTTATGGCTTGAGGACGGTTGGAACAGCAGAACGATAAGGGAATGCTTTTTTGCTAAGGGTCAACTCCATTCAGCAGCGAACGTGACGCTACAGATCATGTTTGTGTGAGTGCGACAGATATTTTAGCATCTACAGAACACCTGGTTTGAAAAGTGCTGAACAAACGCAGCCCATCCGAAACGCTGCCCTTGAAAAGTTTTCCGTTCCCCATCTGCAGGTCAGCTGACTGGCTTTTATTAGCACTTCATTAAAATTCATTAATTGCTTCCTTTCTCCTGGGCGCAGGCGGAATCAAAACTGGAACTGTCAGAAATGAGAGCAGGAGCAACTGTCCTGTGCTCCAGATACACAACCACCACCACCGGCGACGACACACACACACACACACACACACACACACACATCCACCCATCTGCGCTAAAGACACAACAACAGGACGCCACGGAGGAGAGAGAGAGCGGCTTAAAGAAGTAGACGTAAATTTTATTTACTTGTTCTGTACATAAAGGGTCAATACCAGCACAGGTGTTAACCATGGGAAATATTAACACATGTAAATGGTATAAGAAAATAAAAGGCACAATTTTCAATTCTTAAGTAAAAGACAGGCTTTCCTAGAATATGAGAAGAGAGAGCACAGTAATACTGTTAATGCCATATCAAAATAACTCAGAAGCATGAGAAAAGCAAGTTCACCTCAAGACAGGAAATAATCAGGGTGTATTGCTTAATTAGTAAAAATTTCATTAAGCTTGACGAGGAGAGAAAACAAAAAAAAACACCCACGCTGGTTTGTCTGCACAGTCCAGGTGGGATTAAAATAAGAGGAACCTTTATTCTTTATGAGGAAATAAATGACATTAAGCAGCATTGAGCCAGGTAAACCATCCCCCTGGCCGAGAGGTCATGCACAGAGGCAACCAGCAGGCATTTTTCCCTTTTTGTAAATGTCACCGTAGGTACTTTTGTTTAATAACGCCACTTTTTTTGTTAACAAAAAAAAAAAAAGAAAAAGTTTGATTTAATCGCCGACTACAAAACTGACCAACAAAAGAAAAAAAAAAGAAGGGATACAACTAAAAGCTGCACGATATTAACTCCGAGTGAAGCATCGATCTGAACAGAAAGCACTAAATAGATGAGGGGGGGGTTCAGTTCTACAGCAGAAATCCAGGGTTCTGCGCCGTTTGCACAACTGTTTAATCCTCGTGATTAACAGAACTGCTTGCAGCACAATAAAGATTCTTTCCTCTACTGTTTGCATATAGAGACAAAAAACAAAAAAGGACCAAATATTGAAGCTGGTTGAAATCCTACATGGACAGGAGTGAGATCACATGAAAAACAACGGGTTAGAGATGGATTGCATGCGCTGAAAGTAAGACTCGTCTTACTCCGAAAAGGCATTGATGGGATCTCATTGGCTTGCTGAGACATTCCTCCTTCCCTGACCCATGCCACTGAAAGTGGAGTTTTTTTTTTTTGTCACCTCAGTGCAAAAGGCTTCAGTCCTCATGCCCACACTGTGTTTTTTTTTTTTAGGTTTGCCTTGTAGTCAGATGCTTGTGGGACGTGCTGGCCGGTGCTACTGCCGTTGCTATTTGACTTTTGAAAACCCGTTCAAAGCTTGGCACAAAAAAAAAAAAAAAGTTCTCTTTTAGTACTTGGTGCTGTTAGCACTAAAAAAACAAAACCTGCTAATCTCTAAGCAATGTCGTCTTAGTTCAAAACCATGTGAGAGTAGAGGTACCAAGTGGACACGCAGAGTTATCGTCCCTCTAGCAGACATCTCCAAAAATAACACATTGATCATCTGGCACTAATAAGAAAAAGATGAATCACATATGGCCGTGTCATGTCTTATTAACACAAGATAAATAAGTCTCATCAGCCAGCCAGCAGGTCGGATGGGATCTGGGATGTCCACGAACCCATCGCTTCTGCTTCCTCCTGACACAAACCACACATCATATACACACTAAGAGAAAAAAACAAAACAACCCAACTAACTCCTGGCCAATGTGTGTGTGTCATGGTTAAGGTACGACAGTGACTTGATTGTTTGGAGAAGTTTGACTGGCTGGTTAAGCTCCTCGTCGCCTCAGTGCTCTCCCAAGTCCGTAGGGATATTGCTTTTCCCTATTTCATACAAATATCCTCAACAACACAAACACACACCGACGCTTTCAAAAGTCCCCAAGACTTCAAACATAACACAGAAAAAAAAAAAAAAGACCTGTTGTGATGTAATATGGTAACTGTGAACACGCATACATGCACTTACACACACACACACACTCGTATACACACTCACACTGATGCCCAGTGATCTGGAAATGAAAAGGACACTAATGCAAAAAAAACAAACACTGCTCAGCCTGGAACCAAGACGTGGAGGAAAAAAACAAAATAACTGGGAGAAGTGGGGTCAGGTTTTTAGTTTGGATCTGATGTCCAAAGCTGTAAACAGTCAGAAAGCCTTGCGACGGTTGGCAACAACAGAGGGGTCGCTATCGTGGTACAGCCCCAAGCAGGCAAGCACATAACCGTGACACTGGCGGGGGAAGGTGGAGAGAGCCAGCGGGTCCAGGTACACGTCGATACCGGCGGCGGCGGCAAGAGGCTCCAGCCCAACTCGGAGGTCAGTCACTCTCATCCGGGTTCTGGGGGTCTATGATTTTGACGTGGGTGAACGGGAACAGGCCCCTCCGTCCGTTCACCTCGCCCTCCCACTGGCCGCTGATGTTCATCCGCGTCACCTTGACGATGTCGCCGACCTGAGGGCAGGAGGAGAGGAAGCTCGGTTAGACGTGTTTGATGTGAACGAGCCGGCTGTCAGCAGTGGCAGATGTTTAGCATGAAATAACTCCAATTCCAGACATATTTCCAGCTTCAGTCACGGAGGTCACGAGACGCTTTACTGGATGCTCGTTCAGTCTCAACCACACTGCAAAGCAAGAGTCTGACAAACCAAACTGAAGACACGAAGCCATGAGCCCAACAGTGAGGGGGTCTCAGTAGGGCAGAGGTCTCCAGCTCCGGTCCTTGTGAGCTGCTGTCCTGCAGGTTCTAGACGTTACTGCAACACACCTAACTCAGACTAATGGATCATCAACAGACTCGTGTAGAACTCGACAACAAGCTGCTGGAGATCCATCCATCCGACTACAACCTGCAGGACAGTAGCTCACGAGGACCAGAGCTGGAGATCCCTGCAGTAGGGGGATGGTTTGGGTCCACGTGTCCCCCTCAGAAGGTCACAACAAACCAATACGAAGGTGTTCAGAGTGACCAGCTTCTGTCGTGATGGGAGTGGTTTCACTGGATGGTTTGATGAGTCTAACAACGATGTGAATCATAAGCTACAGACAGATCTCACCCCAATCCAACACCTATCTTGAACCAGCACTCGTCACAAAACCATCAAACCCCAAATGAGGCAATCTCTTCTGGAATAGGATCCCTACAGTATGAAGCAAAGTCAAAGGTTGCTGAAGCAATTTGTGTTGCAATATGATGGGCTTTCCTCTGATTTATCAAAAAACAGATTCCTGATAGCTAACAGGAAAAACAAATGCTCACGGCAGCAGGCTAACGCTATTTTAAAACCTGTCCCAATCTGCTTCCACCGATTTATTAATACGCGCCTTTTAAAATAAAACCCGGCCGTCAGATCTCCACTCGTACGTGACACGGCGGTTTGAAGCGGAGGAGCCGTCGCTCAGATGGTTCCTGACACTCGGCGTGACCCCAATCTGTTAAAGCCATATGTTCTTTATCAGGATTAGAAGAAGAAAAAAAAAAGTCTCCATCATCATCAAAAACCGTGATTGAAAGGGCACAGTGTCGGTAGCGTCAACGTGAACGAGGCTTCAAGGACGTTCAGTCCCAGACGCTATCTGCCACGATAATCCCTGATGCCACTCTGGAATGACAGGAATGCCACGTAGTTGTAAAAAAGCTTCTGTCAAAGAATTATGGGGGGAAAAAAAAAATGAATGGAGTCGGTCTGTTTGAAAGAATCATAATGAAGTGAAATCAGAGAAGCGTCACAGAAAGAAGAAGCTGATGGGTTTCATTCACTGTTTGCATCTTCTAACTGGAATTACAACAAACAAACGCTAACACATCAGATGCAACCATTTACAAGTCATGTGCAACTAGTAAGAGAGCAGGAATAAAAAACAAGAGTCACCAGTGCTGTGTTATAAATAATAAAACACAGCAGCCTATACGTTAAAGTCTAAAACATCGAGGACACAACCTGATTTCATTTGTCTCGTAGCGAATAAATAATGACTCATAGCTTCTGCTTCTCGAACCCCAGAGGCCCTAAAATAGCCGCGGCACAAAACTAGAGAGGTTTTTTTTTTTTTTTGCTGGAAGCCACGACAGACACTCAGAGGAGACATGATGAGACGAGATAAGGTATGTGCTTTCGGTGCAGAGCAGTTTTTAGACCACTGAATCAAAAATACCATCGGAAACACGAGGTTATTAGCTTTTTTTTAATTTATTTTTTTGCTGTGAAGCTCCAGTTCAATACTCACAGCGTAATAGATGTAAACACGTGATGCAGCGTTAGCATGAGGTGCCGCTAAAAGCTCGACTGTCACACAAGAGGGACGGCGTGAATTTATCACCGACATGAAGGTTTGAACAGGATCAGAGGCACTGAATAATTCCATATTGCTGAAGTGCAGCTGCTGAATATGGTGATTTGTGTTCTTAGGTTTGAATTTATCTGTGTAGGCCTAGCTGTTGTCAACATGGAGAGGGGTTTTCTCTGGCTCAGAATACACTTTGGGGGGCGACTACTAGCAGCAGTGAGCCTGTGCTATCCTGTTTGACTGACATCTGAGCAGCTGATGAACTAAAACGTCCATTTTTCTTGAGTAAACAAACCCCCGATGAACAAAACTGGCTTCCTGGGTCCTGCATAGTCCAGTAGCCAAAACTTTGTGACTCTGGCTGCTGGTAAAACACAGCATACGATCAGGCAGAGCACTTTTTTTTAGGGTTGGCAAATAGGAAACACATCCCAGACATGCTGCTGATCATCATCACCACATGCAGAAAAGCAGCTCCACCAGAAACATCTCAGAGTTTGATGACAAATTCATATCAGCAGGGAAAAACAACGGTCAATTATTGTGAGCAGTCGATGTGATCAGCAATCAGAACAAACCCAATACGTGATGTGTGAGCTTCAAGCAGCAAGATAAACGTTAACATATTCAACCCAAACTCAGGGTTCTCCTCTGTAAGGGATTTAGTTTGTTTAGTTCAGGTGAACAGAAGCGAGCAACAAAGGCGTCCCAGAGGAGCAGCAGTCGTATCCAGTACGTTTGCATTCAGAAAAACCCAACGAAGGTCTTCACTTGTTAATCTTCAGGGGACCATAAACACACCCTGCACCCTGACAGCATGACAATAGCATCTTTCTAAGTTTAATTCATCTTAATTAAGCATTTGCAGCACCGATTTATCACAGCTTATTGAATCCTTAAAGTTCTGCCTGTCCAGCCAGCGACTAGAGGCGGCTGTGCTCCTGCTGGAAAGAGGATGGGCCCAAAAACAGGCCTCCAGCCAAAAACATGAACAATATGCACAACTTCTGTACCTACTGTAGCTCCTTACTTGTGCCCAGTTTATATATATATATATATATATAAGTGACAGTGTGTGCTGGGTTCAGCTTGCCACTGCAGCTATATGTGGACGACCACAGCATCAAATGGTATAAACTAAGATGAACCAGGACAAAGCGAATCCAGACGTATACAGAGTTTGTCCTGTTCTGGATGGTTATGACCAACAGAGACATGAACGCAGAACAAATGTGGCTTTCTAAAGTCTTACTCCATAACATTAAACAGTTCTGTCATTAACAATAAAATGTGAGACTCTACATTAATGACAATTAAATCACTCTATGCCTGATCAAAGCCAATGTCTGATTCCTGTTGTCTTATTTAGTAAAAACACGACCGACTCTTACAGTAGCTCTGATGGCTTGTCCACACTGTCTGGGGCAACATGTTCATTGCTGTTGTGTTAAGACAAGGTTTTAATTTCATTTTTGCAAGGCTAAAACTCAACTTAACTCCTATATTGACTGTACGCAGCACTAACCCAAGACCCAGTAGTGCTGTTATGAGTATTTATACTCGTGTGCTGGTCTCTGTATGTTTTCAGCAGTGGGGTTTCTTTTTTTTCTGAACTTCAACAGAGTGGATCATGTTAGAGCTAATAAATGTTTCAACAGCTATTTTTTTTACCAGAATTACTGCAATGCAGAAAAAAAAAAACAATCGTGTCTCTGCACGGATTGGTTGATGAGAAAATGGCATACAGTTGCACCGGCAGAATACTGGCACTTGCATTTACAGTGTGCCAGATACAGTTACAGCCCATTACATTTGGCTTCACAGAAGCATTATCTTTGTGCAAATGTTGTGTAAACACAGGATACAACAACCGAGGATCACACTTGTTGTAGGGCTGCAACGTGCCTTTACATTTCTGGAGGGCAGGGAGGGCATATCAGGGTAGGTTATGTGCCTGTGCCTCACCTACAGTATAGATCGAACACTAAAGTTTAAATCAAGCTTAACACAGTAATATTCCACATCAATTTACACACTATTATTTTAGATATTCTTCCAGAAGATTCCCTGAAACGGGGAAACACTTGTGCCTCACGTCTGCAGGGTCACATGTGTGTGATCAGGGTCTACAAAACACACCCTCAGCTTGCATGTAAACACTTCACACTGTACGAGACGGCGCTCAGCGGTTGTGTTTTTGTCACTCATTAACAGTCTGCTGCGACACAAACTTCACTGCCACTGCTTTACATTTCCCAGAACAGCGTGACGTCGGTACCAAATAAAGTGACATTTTAGTTTCACTTCTCAAACGCTCACTTTTATTGCCGATTTGCATGCATTCTCTTTCTCTCCATTGCGGCGTCAGTCAAATGAATATTTTCTTATCGAGCTTCCATCTCTCAGCCAACTGCTGACAAAAAAAGATGCAGCGAAGGGCAGCGAAGGGTGCAGACACTGGCAAACTTTTGTGTGCCTTGCTGACCCATTCCACTCACGTCACAGCGTCAGTTTGAATGAATTTTTGTGAGGTGACTGTTATTGGGCAGAGGAGAGAGAGCAGAGAGGACGGGACTAACGCTATTAGTGAGAGCGCCTAACCTCTAGCATGAATACCGTCATGTTCCACTCATTTCTGTCCAAGAGTCACAGGGACGGAGTGTATCTCTGTACCCATCTCCAGTGACCTAGTTTACTTCCTACATACACTGACAAACGCTGTCATTCCATATTTATCTCCAACTCAACTCAGTCTACCATGAGACAAAAGCGTATTTTGGAGCCCTACATTGCGTGATTTAACATACTGCCACAGTCGAAGCAGATCTGTATTCACCAGCGTAAACTGCTGAGAAATGCAACACAGCTGTGAAATGCAGCAGTGCTGCCATCAGAGCTGCTGGCAGTTTAACAGCTAGCTGGCTAGCTAGCTAGCAGGAAGACTGAGCCAGAGCCCCCCTAAGCTAAGAAGGCTCTGAATCAGGACTCTGATCACTAATCAATGGAAACTGAGTCACAGTAATAAGTCCCCACCTCCCCTAAAGTCACAGCTTCCAGAGTGCAATACCGCGCTGTCAAACAGACGCACTACATAGATTACTAACACTTCCTCCTTTACTGCAGCACGACTTCTCCTCCAATCAGAAGCCACAGAATCGGTGTCCTAATGATCCGACACCAAATACCACCGAGGCGTCACACTGCAGCCAGACGCCGGTTCCCAGAGCAACAACTTCACCAACCTTTGCAAATTAACAAAACCTTGCACAGACCATCTTTTTTTGATGCGCCCACACAACAAGTGCATATTATTAAACATTAGGAGGAACCACAAGTCCTCTCAAGACACTTCACACCCTGAAGCAGCAAACCTCTGTAGGCGGCACCGGTGTTTTCCCCCGTCGCCGCTAGCACTGCAATATTAATGTAAAACGCGCTGAAACGTTACAAGAAATGGCGCGGTGACAGAAATATTCCACTTTAGGTGTGACACTGACTACGTCTAGCATTCAGTTTTGAACTGCATCATGACTTTTTTGGACCTTCTTCGAAGGACTGTCCACATTCGAGCTACTTCTAAATACAAAACTTTGCCGCCCTATGATATTGTGTGAAGTTTGCTTTGATGCAAAACAAGACTGTCAAAACTTCTCACAGCTTCTGGTACATCCCCGCCAAGCTGTGATAATCTGAAGAGCAAACTAACATCCTCTGACCCGCTGTCTTGTCCACACTTCAAAACTTTGCAGTGTTTCATCCTTAAAGCGAAAACTGAGTTACTGAAGGATGCGTAATTAAATTTTGTAAGCAAGGGCGAGCTGGACGCGAGCATCTTCTGTTAAACAATGCAGCTGGCATCTTTTCTATTTGAAGCAGCGCAGTGGACGCCAAGTGGTGGCACTTACTTGGCATGGAGATTTACAGCATGATGTTGCAATACAAATCAAAAGTGCTGCCACAGATGTACTGATTTTATGTCAAACAAAAATTGGATTTTCAAATTGCCTTAATATTGAAAATATTCCAAAAGGACCAAATGGTTTCACTTCAATATGAAATCTCTGCCAGAAGTAGCATCATGTTGAACAGGAGTGTGACACCCTGAAATCAAAAAGGTGGATAAAGGGAGCGGGAGAAGAGAAAAGGCTCAAGACACAGGTAAAAACAATAAGGAGAAAGTGTACAATACCTCTAGAGCGAGAGCTGTTTTGTCGTAGGCACAGGGCACTCGCTTCTGGATGGCCTTTGCCATGACCGGGCCGTTCTGCATGGACGGGAGAGGAGTGATAACTGCTCCGGGTGTGCCGGGGGGCAGCGGAGAGGGCGTCTGGGGCTGGGCGTAGGCGTGGACGAGGGCGTGGGAGGGCTCGGGGATCCCGTAGCTGTTGGAGTTGCGAGATCCGTGCGAAGGCTGGCCGGGATGGGGCGGAGGTCGTACCAGTTTCTCCACATAGGGCACGGGGATCATGCCGACACGTCCCTCTTTGCTCTTGGCGCTCCACCACTGCTCCTCTGGCTTTTCTAGGATGATGAGGATCTCCCCTTTCTTGAAGGGAAGGTCTTCCGCGTCGCTGCCCGTGAAGTCGTATAGAGTCCGCACGTACTCCACGTTCTCCTCTGGGCCGACCATGGGCTGGATGGGACCGGTCACTGTGCTTGGATACCTTGACAGATGGAGATAGGGCGACGTTATTGGGTTATTATGAAGAGTAGGCTGAAATGATGGGGCTAATGAAGTCAGGAACAGGTTTCAGATATTATTTGTTGGGTAATCTTTGATTTGCAAAAAGGGTTAACAAGGAAAATGTGCATATTAATGTTTACTGTATGCAAGTAGGTGGAAAACGGCTTGCATAAGAACAATTAGTGCACATTTAAGACATGGAAATGCAACATATAGAAGTGAATGAAACCCAACTAAAACCAGCACCGTAGTCGACTAAACACCCCACATGGCCTCACTAAAAACACTGGATGTGTGGTGATGGCGTCCAACAACTTCAAATCTGGCAACCTGGGAGCTTCATGACATAACTGACAGAAAGTGGGTTAGTTCTGTTAAAAATAGACAGTCTAGTTAAGAAGGAGGAGGAGGAGGAGGAGGGCTGCCTTTCCCTTACCTGGGGGCTGGCTCTATCAGCGTGGTCGTGTCCAGGTAGTGGATTTTGTAGAACTCCAGGAGAGCCGGGAGGTGCTCGAACTCCTGGTCGCCGATCTTGAACCTCTTGCTGGGCAACGAGTTGATGATATAGTGCGACACTTTGGAGTTCTCGGACACTGACAGCACGTAGTCGCCGGGGCAGGTCGACGAGTCTCGGACCAGGAACATGCCATGTCTCTGTCCTTGTAGCCTATTCTGTGCCTCCTGTCGTGACACGGGTCCAAAATACCAGGCGGACCGATCGGATGAATCGAACCGAGCGGTTGACATTTCACAAAAAAAATAAGTTAATATACAAATGAGAAGGCCTAGACAATAAGTTAAAAAAACAAAAACGTGTGGTTGCAGTGAGCCAATCACAGCAAATAGTAGGATTTGGAAGATGCAGGGCAGGGCATACGTCGCCCTGTGGAGCTTTTTCCGAGGGTTCTGCACAAACGCTGCAGGCACCACAGACCTGATTTCTTTTAATAAAGAAGAAGAGAAAAAAAAAAACAACCTTTCACAGACACTTGATCCAACTTTGGAGCATAATGTGGTTCCGTGTGTTCAGCAGTCCGCCGCCGAACAAATCGCTTTTAGAAGAAAATAATAAAACTTACGACGGAGGCCCGAAGCAACAATGATCAATAAAAAGCTTCCCCTTTTCGTTCCGCCTTCCGAGAACAAACAGCAGGCTTCTAATAATTTATCTCCTCCAGTCAGTGTCAGTTATGAGAACGGAAAAGGTGGCCCCCTCTTCAGCTTTTTTTTCCTCTTCCCCCCTTTTTTTTCTTTACATCTGATAAATCCTCATATCTGCCAGAAAGGTCGCCCAGAAGCCGCAAAGTAGGATTAGTTTTTCTCGCGTCTCACGGTAAGGCACACGTCATGGAAACGGGCGTTTGAATCCCCTTCTCGCTCTTCTCTCTCTCTCCCGACTCGGAGCTCGACTTTTGAGGCAACACAGCAGAAAAATGGCGGCTCGCAACACGTCTTCACACAAGAAATTATTTCACGGCAGCGGCAGCTCGTCTCCTGCGCGTGCATCTCAAACGGGGCTGCGACCGTTGGGCGGCTGTCGGCTCCCTCTCTCTCTCCCTCTCTCTCTCTCTCTCTCTCCTTCTTTCTCTCTCTCTCTTTCTGTCTGTCTCGCGCGCACACAAACACACCCGACCGCTCACGGAGGATCCCGAATTCGCCGGTTCGATGTTTTTATTAAAGCTCACTTCGCTCCCTTCACTCGCTCGGTTCTTTTTTTTTTCTGCTACGTCTGCCCCCCCTCCCCTTTTCACCCGAGCCGCCAGAAAGTGTAGAGTACGGAGACCGAAAAATGGCGACGGGAGGGCAGGTCCCGCTTTCTAAAGCTGCACGTCACTAACGCCTGGAGGTTTGAGAGGAGGAGGGAGGAGGAGGAGGTGGTGGTGGTGGGAGGAGGAAATAAAGGAGGGTGGGCGGGTGACGAGGACGCGGACGGCCCCCTCACCCCCGTGAGGAGAGAGAGGTAGGTGTCAGTCCGTCATGTTTCCAGAGAACATGAGGATGGCATCGGCTAGCTAGCAGAGCACACAACAGGTCCACATGCATGAGTGGAGGAGCTGCAGCTAGCATGTGTGTCCCAGCTAGCAGCACCGGCTAACGCTACCTACAGGTTCTGAGGGAAACACTTCAACCTGATGTTCAAAGAACGTTACTACCATACTGTTCCTGTGAGGTTAAAAAGTGAGCTAAAGCAGAGAGGTTTTACTAAACGTTCTTGAACGTTCTCAAAATGTTTCTAAATGTTATCAAGGCCGTTCAAAAAAACAAATAAATAAAAAAACACTTTTCTGTAATGTCAACCCTTTTTCTGCATTATTAAAGTTTTTGGAGAACGTTAAGGGTTTTTGTTATGTCTTTCGAGAACATTGCTCTTCTTTTTAAAAATATTCTGGGAACATTGAAAAAAAAAGATGTTTGTATGCAATAAGAACCATTCTGGAACGTTCTCAGAAGGTTTCTATAATGTGATATATCGTCAACCCTTTTTCTGTATTTTTAAACTTTTCTGAGAACGTTTGGGTCTTTGGAACATCTTTAGGGAACATTGCTCCACTTTTATAAAGAACATTATGGGAACATAGGGGAAAAAATATGTTTGGATGGTGATAATATCCATTCTTGAACATTCTCAAAATGTTTCTCAATGTTATCAAGGCTGTTTTTAAAAAAAAAAAAAAGTTTCTATAATGTGATATATCAGTCAACCCTTTTTCTGCATTATTAACTTTTTGGAGAACGTTAGGGTCTATGGAAAGTTTTTACAGAACATTACTTTTCAAAAGAATATTCTGGGAACATAGAGGAAAAAAAAGATGTTTAGACGGTGATAAGAACCATTTATAAATGTTCTCAAAATGTTTCTAAACATCAACGAGGCCGTTTTCTTAAATAAAACATTCCAGCATTGTGACGTATTAACCAAGGCGGAACGTTTGTCTGCATTCTGACACAGTTTGAAGATTGTCAGGGCATAATGGTCTAGCAGTGTCATCAACAAACATCTTTGGAACGTCTTTAAAGAATGTTAATCTACAATGTGGGAACATAAAAACAATTAATCTTCAAACATTTCTAGAACTTTACAGGCAAATGTAACAACAACAAAAAAAATGAGACGGAACGTTTTAGGTGCAACATTCACAAGATGTTTGGATGATAACAATCGTCTGACATTCTCAAAATGTTTTCTGATGTTATTGAGGACGTCTTTTACGCTCCTCTGATGTGATCTGTTAAGGACAGTAGAACAGTTTGCTGTAATATTCTGAAAATGTTTGGGGAATGTTGTGGACCCGTTATAAACCACATGCCAACAAAAGAACAGCATTCACATTACAACATTCAGGGCACGTTTGAAGAACATTAATGGTCTAGCAGGATTATTGCCATACATTTGTTTTTATTTCTTGTAGAGAAGTTCTTCTACTTTTAGGAGTAACATTCTAGGAACAAAAAAAAAAAATTACGCCAAACAATGTTCTTTAAAAAAGAAAAAAATCCAAAAAGTAAAATAAAATTCTCAGAACGATTTTGAACAAAAAACTTGTAGCTGGGACGGCTAAGTTGGGATGTTGTTCAGGTAACGCATCATAAAACATTTCCACCAGTGTTATATGATAACAAAAAATCATATCGCAACACTTGGAAACTGTTTAAAGAACATTTGGGTATAATGGTATAGCAGTGATATCGCCAAACAGTTCTGGAACATGTGTTGAGAACGCTTTTCTACTATATTCTGCAACATTCTGGGAACATAAGAACACTTTAAACATGACTAGAACTTGCATAACTTTCTCAGAATATTCAAGAACAAAAAAGTTGTAGCCGGGACAGCGTCGTATCGTACACAGAGAAACATTCGAAAGATGTTTTGATGACGTCAGCAAAGACAGAACGTTCTCGAACATTCAGAGTGTTTTAAGATGTTTTTTATTAAACGTTATAGGATGTTTAGACGTACAGATCTCTACGTACAAACAAGTATCTCTACATCTAAACAAACACGTCAGTGGTCTACAGGCGCTTACGTTTAGGTCTCTACGAACGAGGAAGTGATTGTAGATTAAACTCCTGTAATCTATATAATTCTGAACATCCAGTCATATTTGAATGTTCAGATAAAGTCTCGCGTGTTTCCTCAGAACTTCTTCCTCCTAAACAGGAACATGTTCTCATGTCAACGTGCTGTTCTCACTACTGTCACACAGGATGGTCTTTCAGGCGCATTATACTGTACGTCTATAGCTTTAATGTTTAACATGTAAGCATTCAGCGCTCTAACTACAGCTGAGGTGGACAGCATAGTCTCTCAGTCACATCGATTTTATACCACCATTAAAAAGTTTTTACATATTTCCCTATTTTCATTTCCTGTTGTTCTTCAAGTTCCCCTCCGTTCAGTCTCGTAATCAGTATTATCTGGCACAGAGCTGTGACACATCGATTTGGAGCTCCTCAACCGACCCGAAACACGACACGCTGAAAGGGACGGAGTGAATTTGAATGCAGGGGACAGCGCGTCCACCAAAAGACGCCCAAATAAAGCGCAACAGACACAAAAAGAGGGCGTCGCAAAAAAACACTGTGCGAGCGCCGACAAGCCGTCCAGTGTAGCAGAACAACTTCTGCTCAGTGATGAAAGTAAAACATAGAAAGAGGTGGCTCTGTTCCTGTGGTGACTGAGGTTTCAGTGACCGGGCCTGCTGAGGCTACAGCTGGCACAGAGCGGCTCTCATCGCTGCAACACTGGCTGAATTTTAATAGATTTGCACCCACTGGGTCTTAATGGAGAACGCCTGCCAATTCCCACATTTCCACAAAGATGCAGTGATGCAACAAATTGGAAATGGAAAGAAAAAAGAAAACTCTTCTTTCCTCAGAAATGTGAGTGAAGATGCTGTTAAGTTGTCTGCATGAACCACACCTGTTTGTTTTGATTTCATTAAGATGGATTTCAGCAGATAAATGCGTTTCTGTGCAAGTGCAACACCGAATAGGAAATTAAAATAAGGTTTTAGTGGGAAATGAAGCTAAGGTGAGTCATGACATACCTATGTGTGAGCTGCTGCTTAACTATTTGACTCAGGAAGGAATTTTCTTCAGAAATATCACCATCTAGTGGAGACGTGAAGGACACAGTGTCTGCCTTTTACATACATTACAGATTGGTTCACCCACAGACTGTATCTGATCGAGCACAAATGCAGAGGACGATTCCTGCTGAGGGACACTTTCAGAAGCAAAAATCAGAACCTGAGATCTGGTTCTTGATTGATCTTCTAATCATTACCCTCTCGGCTGTCACTTCTGTATTAATAATGCGCCTTATTGGCTGAGCTACTTGAAGTAACTGTGCTGTGATAGGCTGAAACCACCACTTTCTTGGCAGGAATATTACACCAATATTAAAGTTTTTCCCCTGTTAATTATTGGAGATGTTTCTCTTCAAGCTAGGGTCCAGCAGCAGCGTTTTGTTCCCCGCCACGCCTCGGCTTTAACAAAGCACGCATGGGTTGAAGAAAATCATTTGATGCTGGAGCTCTGCAGCGGTGCGTGGGGGGGAGGCGCCATGTGGAGGCCTGGCGGTATAGATTTTGTAGAACTGTGTGGAAGTTGAGCATCACAGCGAGCTGCTGAGTGGTCATTTTCAGCCGTCCGCTCAGTCCACTGGTGTGAAGACTGATGGTGAAGTTATTGCTTGAGACGGTGCTGGCAAAGTGTGGGCGTAGTTCCAGAGGAGTTGGGGAGGAGGTGTCGTGGAGATGAGTACAGGAGGTGCAGCGTTATTATTTACTGCAGAGGCTTCATGAGAAGTGTCAGCTCATTACCTTCCACGTCTCTTTCTGTTCGCCTCGGGGCAGGTTTTTTTGAAAAGGTGTAGAAACAGAAAGCAGCAGCAGCAGCACTGCGTTCTAGTGAATGGACCAGATCACGCTGTGTGATTGTGAACAGACACTTCAGAGGTGGAGTACGCTAAGCCAGGTACATTCTGGGAATCGTCCGCCCTGTGCAGTTCTTAACCTGCCCCGCGCTGTTGCACAATTAGACGTTTTGGTTATGAAATAGCGCCATGTGCTTTTGGATTTGTTGACTGTCGCAGACTCTGAGGACATCTCAGTAGTAAATAAAACCTCAGAGCTCGGCTTTATTACTGGAAGAAAGTGAGGTCCCTAGTGAAATATTTAAGGCAACTAATTTATTTTATTTATTGTGAAACAGTCTCTACAAGGTTATTTCTACCTGCCATGATAACGACATAAACAAAGAGAGATTTGAGTGTAGACATTCCCCAGAGAAACCTGTCTAACATTTATCCCATTTTTTTTCTAAAAGCAGACTAATTCCTTCTTCACAGTTCAGCGTGTTGTGTCGTCTGTTTACAGCGTGTTTCAAACAACCACTTCCTCATAGTTTTAGCTGGAACTAGAAGAAGCCACAGGTTTGGTTCTGCAGACTGCAGCCCTCTGAGTGTGTTCTCAGGAATCACACCAGTCTGATTCTGTTCAACCACGCTGTCGAGATTTTATCTTTGCTGATAAATATTTGCACACAAACGTGGTGGAGAGGTAACTCAGTGCTGCAGCGTGACCGAGGAGGACTGGAGGTGTTGCTGTCACCGTCTGTGAACTGTTGAGTGGTG